GATCGGGTTGTAACCCTCACTGGAACTTACGCAACTTGCTGCTGAGTTCCAGTGAGGGTTACAACCCGATCCCTACCATTGCTTTCTGAACAAAATAATGATCAGGAATAAAATAAAAAGATACCCTGAGCAATCTGTACTTTGTAATTGGATTCATTTTGCAAGGATGTTATCTGTTCGCCTTTTTTGCCTATTACTAAGCCAACATAACGGTCAGGAATGGATGTCTCAGTGGTTATTAAGCGATCAGATGACCCCTGTTGATAAGAAGGTGCACCTGAAGCCCCGAGCTTTTGATTTAATCTTGCAGCTGCTTCCTGTGCGGCTGCGATTCCTTTGTCATTGCGGATCATCTTTTCAGGCGGAGCGTATCCACCCATAGAGTCAGCCGATCGCTTTCCGACGTTATAAGAGCCATTGGAATGACTATCATCTTGATTAAACTTAGATACAACCTGCAACAAACATTAAAGAGCTAATTTTATACCATTTTGGCTCGCTCAATGGCATTTACATAGGCATCATTGTGCGACATCTTAACAGCGTACGACCAACTTTGTAGTATTTAAAACAAATTACAAATTTATTTACATAACATATTCAACTGAAGTAAGCAATTATATATATATATTTAAAGATCTTTAAAATTGCGATAAATTAATTTTATTTATGCTCAATTGCAATAAGCCAAAATTTCAAATATAATAGACCTCAATATTTTAAGATGTGTGATATTGATTAATTAGGTTCTTACAAATTCGATTATCAACGTTAAGTTGCAAATTGATTTTAATATCCTATTAGCTGCAGCAGAATATAATTACGAAGCTTTTGGCAGAGATATACGTGGGGTATTTTCTGTGACCTGAGTGAAATATGTTGTTCATGTTATAAAAATATTCATGGAAAAGAGAGTTATTCCATTAAAAAGCAAACTTTTGTCCGTTGGTGGTTTTTCATAATTCTACATGGAATGTAGAAGACTTTACTCAACTGGACATTAAGGAAATCATTAGAACGTCGTTTCGTCTTGGAAATTTCACAGCAGGAAATTTTTAACTTTCAGAAACTATTCACATGTGTCAAACCGAATTGTTTTATGAAGGGTGTCAATTCGGCACACTTTCTATGAATCTATCGAATTACTTAATTATTTAATTGAAAGCATGCCTTAATAGGAACCTCAAACAGTCGTCCTAGTCGAGTAAATATTCATTTATTTATAAATCGTTCCTGATTACTAGTAACGATAATCAACGTTGATCATTGGATAAAACATATTTCATGCCTACGCAAGCATTCAGATGAATTTCAAAATTTAATACTTATTCACGACCTTATGCTGAACTTTCTTAATAATCTACCTCCAGAACCTTATTTATATCTGTCTTGAGAAACACAACTTACATTTGAATTTTTATGAAGAAATGGCTGACGCATAAAATATCTTTGCACTATAAATGAGAGCGTGAAATTAGTGGTTTTGGGGAATTTCTAAATCCGAGGTAGCTTAGCTAACTTCGGAAGCCTTTCCATATTAGGCTACCTTTACAAAAAGGTAGTTTAGGTAAAATGTTGAAGGAGCATATACGTATTTCTCTTAAATTTGATTTAAGTGAAATTAAAGTTATATCAAGAATATTAACCTAGCTCTTTTTATTTGAATCATCAAGACTTTCATTGCTAACCGGAACAGTACCAATGGACAAAGTTTCAAATGCTTAGTTATCCATAATTTGAGAAATATTTTCAGTGTGTTCGAATAAAACAGAAATCTTTATAATGATATAATGCTTTGATTTGGGAGTTCAAATATATAAATGTAATCCCGTAAATTCTAGAAATGAGACTATTGTGGGCACGTCATCGCATGCGCGTACACATAGTCTTGAGGTGC